GCAAGTGACTGCAATTTCCTAAAGATTGAGTTATTTCCCCAGAAAAGCTGTTGTTTTGCAAATCAGTTGTTTCAATGAAAGACAAGGAACCAAATGAGCTTGGAATTATTCCGAAGAAATGATTGTTAGCCAAATTCAAAATAGTTAGATTTGGCCAACGCATCAAACAATCAGAAAGCTCTCCAGAGAGCTGATTGTAGGAAAGATCAAGAAAGGTAAGTCTGATACCACTAGTTGTGGTACAAAAAGAAGAAATTAACCCAGAAAACATATTTTTTGAGATGTTTATGGATGTGGTATTAGCAAGAGATGGTGGTAATGGACCCTCCAAATTATTGCAATTCAAGCGTATTCCAAGAAAACCAGAATACCTCATTCAAAAATCAGGCAGAAATCCATTAATCTGATTGAAAGAAAGATCTATAACAGCACAATTAGAAGTAGTTATATTCCAAAACCAGATGGGGATGCTACATGAAATTCCACCTGTAGAGATATTAAGAAACCAATAGTTTCTTTGGGCCTGTAACAAACTTGGAAAATCAGGGCCCAACTTGCATAGCCCAAGATTTATGTAACCCAGCTGGAATGGAGGAATCCAGTTATGACTAAAGTTGATGGTCAAGAAGGGATTAGAAGTCAGGTCCAAAGTCCCTAACTCAAATTGTGTTGAGAAGTGTTCTGCAGTGATTACCCATCAAAAGAATTGAAAGAAAGTTCAAACGACACAAGATTTGAAAGGAGTCTGATATTTTTGGTCACAGCCCCACTCACATTATCACTTCCAAGGGACAACTCTCTCAACAATGAGAAGTTTGTTATCCGATCAGATAGGAATCCCCCAATTCCACCATTATCTAAAGCCAAATCTTCCAAAGATAGCTGCAGACATCCAGAGAAGTTTCCTATGAGTCCATGAAGCATTCCTCCCAGTCCCAGATGGTCACCAGACAAGGGTAAAAGCCTTAATTTGCACATGTTTCCAAAGGATTTTGGAATCCTTCCTTCAAATTAATTTTCCTTGAGATATAAATATTCCAAAGACGTCATGTGACCGAAAGTTTCTGAAATCGGACCTTGAAACACATTTCTACCTACCATGAGTTAGACTAAGCTATGGCTAAAGTTGAAATTGAAAAGCCACTGGAATGGGAACGCAGTCAAATTATTACTGCTTAGGTCAAGGACAGCAGGGGATGTAAAACTTTTAACCCTGGCGAAGGACTGGGGAACAACATCTAGAAGATTACAGAGATCTTGCTGCAGGTTGGTTAGATGAGGGGGCTTCTTAACAGCCTGCTGCCAGTTATTAACCTTACTAAGGTCGATTGTACTCATATCAAGGTATTTCAAAGAAGAAAGATGGGAAAGCCACTCAAGATTTTTGATACTGTCGAAGTAATTATGTCTAAGATCAACAAGTTGCAGACTTGTGAGGTTCCCTAACTGACTGAGAAGATGTCCACCTAAACCAGAACCACAAGAAGAGGGATCAAGATATTTTTTAGTTGGGTAGAGTGAATTGATAAGAGAATATAATCTAAAGCCTATTCAACT